GTTTGGTTCAGGGTAGTATCTAGTCGAGCGCTCTCGACTAGAGTTTTCTTACTTGTTATATATACAGGGGATCGTTTGCTGTTCTGCACGTTCTTTCGCATATGAAATAGTATTCACTGTAGCAATCTACACTGTACCAAGACTGATCCAATCCCATAACCATGCATCCCCCATTCCCAATAAAATCCATTTGTGGCTCATTATTTCCCCATTTCTTATAGCCCAGAGGTATTCCAAGGCCTTGCCACGTCCAAGAATTGAAATCTCCCAAGTTGCTGGCGCCAAGCCAGAAACCTTCTTGTCCCAGCAGGTGTCCTGGATAAAAGTTTATCGTTTGATCGATAAAATAAAATTTTATGATGCAAGTAGATACCATTGACAGCTATGCTATGCATCAGGAGGAGCTGCTGGTGGTAGCTTGTGACTGTAGCCAGAATCATATCGGATTTGTGACATATTTGATTCGCCTGGAACCAATTGACCTAATAGAAAAATATTGGATTAGATATATGCATACATATTTGCAGCTACAATAACTGAACCGTTCTTACCTTGCCAAAAGTTGCAACGATATATCTATCTTTGGCCGTCTGAAAATTCCCAAGGTGCAAACAGCAAATGAGAAGCAGAAGTCGAACCATTTTGTGAAGAATTTGTTCTGGTATTTTTGAGTGGTTGGGCGGTACTTATATTAACTCGATAAACATCGCGTCAGAAATCGCTCAGAAAGCAATTAGTTGTTCAGAAAGCAATTGAAGATGATGTCCATATTTGTTATAGGGTTGTTGAAAATAAGTTAAGCGGTCTTTTTCATTCAAATAAAAAACAAGTTAGAGCGTTGCAGTCGGGCGTTACTTATTGCGGAATACTCATTCACACCCCAGGGGCGTGGCAAATCGAGAAAAACTTAATTTTCTACAGTATTAGAGCAAAACTTAGCTACTAAATTGCTGATGGGGTATGAAGATGAAGATATTTATTTTCACAAACAAAATTTCCTCCCTTTAAATATTTTTTATTTTTACGACGATACCCAAATATAATTTTACTTTGGAACTCGTTACATATGATGATAAGATAGTTTTAACTAACTTGTAAATGACAATGATGGATGCCTTACACAATTTGATTTTAACGCTAAAAACTGCCTATAAAAGCAAACAGCCCGTGGAACTCTTCACAAAATGAAGTGTCAAGCTCTCTGTATTTTCTGGCTGCTCAGCGTTGTGGCATGGGCTAAATCTGAAGTCGATCCGTCCAGCGACAATGATATTGATGCTCAACCCGTTCTTGATTATTTCACTCATACTGATGAAAAGTATGGCCTAAGCCTGCACAAGGTAAAAGTAATTTGAAAGTTCACTGGACAAAAAACTATATTTTTATTATTATTTTTTTAATTATAGTTGACTTGGTATGAGGCACAGCTCTATTGTGCTACACAGGGGTATTTTCTAGCCAACATTCCTTCATATACTGCTCAGGTCCGCATAACAGATTTTATCCAAGGCTCTGGTATGGACAACCTTATATTAGTTACTAACGAACCCATCTGGGTCTCGGGTACAAATCAGGGACTTGCCACCCAATACGTATGGCATAGCAGTGGAGCTAGGTTTACTTATAAGAACTTTCTCAGGACCCCATCATCTGCCAACCGCTGCGTCGCAATAAATGCAATCACAGGCGACTGGACCGCTGAGAATTGCAGAGACAAGTATTACTTTGTCTGCGAAAAACACCCATGCACACCATAAAAATTTATAACGTACACGCATACTTTGAAATTGATTTATATTTACGGGCATAAAATAAACTAAATAAAAAATTTGAAATTACAATCAGAATCAGAAATATTGTCTATAATCCAAATAAAACTGAGAGGGGGAAGAAGTTCTAGACAGTTGGTTTTTGTTTACCGGGACTTCTATAAGTTAGAGGAGAGGACAACTACAAAAAGAATTATTCCAAAGTTATTTTTTTGAATAAATGATGCCCACTGTTTATTAAAAACAATGAAAAAAGTTGTTAACACTTGCGCCAACAACACGCGGTGTTCCCAAGCGGTCCCCCATCTAAGTACTAACCGCGCCCGACGCTGCTTAATTTCGGTGATCGGACGAGAACCGATGTATTCAGCGTGGTATGGTCGTTGGCAAAGTGCTAGCGGCTGACTATTCACTATAGATGTGGTATGTTAGAACAATCAGTTGGGAATTTCAGCAACATTCGAAACACAAAATAGGGGTTGGTTTTCAAGTGAAGTCATCCCTTAAATTCCATTGGGCAGAGCACATGTATGGCACATACATAGAGCGCATTGCAGTTACTGTTAAGAATTTCGTAAGTCATATGTTTATATATCACGACAAAGAAACCAATTCTATTAGATTTGAATTTATTTACGTTGGAGGTATTCTTTGATTTGTTGCATATATGTAAGGATTCGAATATAAAACAGTACTCACTACAGCAATCCTTATAATAATTTTATGGCGAGAATCGCATCAAAAGTCGTTCAGAAAGAGCAACTAAGCTACATATATATAAATAACAAATGTACTTGGTTTCTAGGAAAATACAAAACTTTTTATTCAATAGCAACAAGTATTGACTTTACAAAATTGTCTCCCATACTAAAACTTAAGAAATGCTCTCTTTAGTGTTTTGTGTTGTCTGGAATTTAGTGCTTAGACTAAGGAGATAAATATATAACTATTCACTTTGTTTAAAGCTAATAGTATTTATTTCTATACAAAAATATCGTCCGATCTCTTAACTTAACTGTAGGTAAATTAGTTAAAGTAGATTTCGGTTATGGAAACCCGAAGTCATGTTAAACATTTATATGTGAGGACTTATGAGATATGGCTTGCATTACTTTCGTTCTATGAAATGCCCATGTTGCATACCTTAAATGGCTAATCGGAAATCGGACTCACATAAATATTCCAAAGAAATCATGACAACTGCGCTAATAGAAATAATTTTAAAGTTTTGTAAAAATTATATAAATTAAAATGCGTTTGATGATAAGCATGGAAGAAAGTATAAGCAGAGAAAAAAATGAACAATTCCCAAAATTGGATTTCTAATTTGAAAAGTGATATTAATTAAAATTAAACAGTTTCTTATCGAGGCAAGCCATAGATTAAGGTAATACAAGTAATAACGGTGCCTACGTACATTGACTATAGATTCGACTTCTCTATCAGGCATTTACAGAATATTGTAAACACAAAATCCTAAAAGTATTTAAGATATTATTGAAGCCCGATATTGTTTTGTGATTTGGAAAGTCCGTCAAATTTGGAAAAATTCTAAAAATTGAAGGCAATTCAAAAATTTAAAATCAATAATTAAAAATATTAATAAATGCTCAGAGTCTATTAAGATATTGTTATTAGTGTTCAAAGCAACTCAAAAATATTTGTATGAATTGCTCAATTATTGCTCAGAATTAATTCCAAAATTTGCTTAAGATATTTTCTGAAATTACGAAATAATAACATAGGCACAACTACTTCCTGAAAATGAATTCAAAATGAAAATTATGCATTTATATGTATATATATAAATTATTTATAAGAGTCGCCTAGGTAAATTATTTAAACTATGCTTAATTACGATTTTCATTATATGTCATCTAATAGCAAGTTCAAGCTCTCGACTTCCTGCTTGAGTTGAAGAAATGTTAGTAATCCCCATATAGATATGTGGGCTGTTGATGCGTGATCTTGCTGCTTTGCTGGTAGAGATTGTGATGCGAGGAAGAGCGATGGGCGAAGTTGGCGGCAACGGCGGCGGTTTCGGCGGTATACGAATGCGATTGTGAATGTCGCTGAGTCGGCGAATGGGCGCGCCTAGCACGACGCTCCTCGATGTTAGCCGGCCACCGTTGATGAAAGCGCGTCGAGTCCTCCGACGAACGACGGCGATGATAACGTTTCGCCGAACTGTTGGCCAGTGGAGCTGGACTCTGCTCGGACTGTTGGCGGTAGCTGCTGTCGTCGCCGCTGGCAGCGCTAAGTGCCTGCTGGTACTGACGCCTCATTCGCTCGTCCAGCGACGAGCTCGGCGTGGGCGTGCGGAGATCGATGACGTCACCATGGGAATTGCGACGAATTGGTCGCTGCATGTCCTGGTTGTAGTTCTCATAGAGATTGCGTCGCTGCTTGTTGCGCTGATGCTGCTGCTCATGGGCATCGAGCCGTTGTCGCCACTCGGCTGCCGACACCTGCTGGCCATAGAGATCGGGCTGTGGCTGGAACTGGGCAGCGCCACTGCCATAAATATTCTGATAGCTGGACTGCCGCCAAGCTTTCTCGGCGGCAGCGGCATTATTAGCCAGCTGCTGGCGTCGCTGTGAGCGACTGGAACTGCTTTCCGATGAGTCCTCGCCGGAGGTGCCCAAGCCCTGGTCCTTCTCATCCCCGCCGTAAGCCTTAAAGGGCGCACCTAGGAAACCCTTGGACCCATAGGCATAAGGTCCGTTCAGTCCCATGCTGGGATACTGCATGTAATAGGACTGCACAAAGGGTTTCTCTATCACATTTGCGAGCTTCATATCAGCCGCACTATTATCCACCTCATCTTCGGAGCCATCGTCACGACCCGTCCAGGTCAACCAAGAACCAGGTCCGAAGAGCGACAGCAACACAGGTAGCAAGAAAAGCCCATGCATAGCGCCAAAGAAAATGACGAGGAAAACCATTTTGAAGAATACCAGAAAGATATAGCTCTGTGCTAGTAATAGAGCTATAATGCCCAAAATCGTCGAGCTGGAGCCTTGCACTATGGGCAGTCCGAGCGAATGAAGAGCCTCACGTACACGCGCTTTGGGACTGCGCTTCTTCGACGACATGTAGGTGTAGCAGATATGCGCAGTAAAGTCCACAGAGAAGCCAATGCACATGATCAGATTAATCATAGATATCGAGTCCAGATTCACATCCCACAAAGCCATATAGCCAGCGACGCCCAACTCAATTGATATGACGGAAAAGGCTACCCATAACGAGCAGAGGATATTGGGAATGAAGACGAACGAGATGATCATCATAATGATCGCACCAATGACCATGGCCTGCAGTGAAACGGGACGAACCAGTTCGAATTGATCGAAGAACACAAAGTAGGGATGAAAGATGGAAGCATTCAACGGTGAGTCTTTGCATATTTTCCGTAAATCTCGCACCATTTCCTTTTCATGATTCGTATCCGTAATATTAACAGCCTGTATAAGGAATCTCGAGGCAATGATCTGTGTCTCATCCTGGTTTAGACGCACATCCAGTGAGAATGGATTGCCAGGGAACAACCAGTGGTCCTTGACTGCATCAATAAACGATTGTTCATCATCGATCGTCTCATTCAGATAATCACTGTTCCGTTCCATGAACGACAGAAACGAGCGCAGCCACGATTCAGTATATAATGAAGAGGTTACATATGATGTGTGCTCTAAAGTGCTTGTCAAATTCTCTATTTGCTCTTGTACTTCAGGATCTGAGTAATTCAGAGGACCCGCAATGATAACCTGTAAAAGAATTGATTGGATTAATGGTTTGGAGCGTGTTAAGTGTTGACGAAAAGCTTACCTGCATTCTGTAAGGAAACTCCCGATAGTAATCATCTTCACGATCGAAAAACTCCACAGAATACGAATCCTCCCGTGACAATTTGCGTCTCTCCAGTCCCTCTTTGATTTGTGTGACTCCGTAGCAAGCTCCAGCCAGATAGCTGGCGAAGGCGAAAATAATAAATATCTTGCACCATTTGTTATTAATGACCGAAGCCAGTTTGTCCTTGAAAAATGCCATGAGCATGTGATCCTTGTTATCGACGGGATTATCTGGATCATTGGGATCGATACCGCCAGCCATGATTGCCTTGTAGAGGAAGTTGCGTTTCTCTGTAATATTAGAGAAAAGTCGCTTTAGTCCAATTGCCATTGACCTCAATTCTACAGATTGATTTCGACGTTCTTCTTAGCCGAGACTAGTTTGATTTTAGTCTCATGATCAAGTTCATGTCTCAGCTGGTAGTTGGTCGAGTAAATTAATTTCATTCTCTCTATGCTTGGCACTAAACTGGTTGCTCGGGCCAACAAGTCAGGCCTTGGGCCTGTTACAACCAACCAAGTTTTGTCATCAGTTGAGCGCGAACTATAGAATTTAATTGTAGATTCGTAAAAGATCAAGAACAATGATGTGTCCATGATTGGAACTGTCTGTATAACTATTGTAGATATAAGCGCATTTTTGTTGATGAAACAATCATATTTAAAATTTTCTAAAAGTCTTCTTCACTTGACACTTCTGTTTATGCTTACGCTCAAAAAATGTGAAAATTACAGGCTACTTTTCGATATGCTATGCCCCTAAAGAGACGTAACAATTATTTTTGGGTTATTGATAGAGGCGGTTACTAGTAACTCAAGTATCCAAATTTGGTTCTAGCTCTTAACCTGTAAAAGATATAAGCTTTGCGGTTGCCCGAGTATATATACGAAATTCGATGTCTCTAGCATCAATAGTGCCAAAATATAGCAACATTTAAAAATCACTATATCTTCAGGTCCGATTTGCCACGCCCCTAGTAAGCGTAAACATATAATTTTTGTATTCTTCATTCTTTGATACACGTTTCAAATTTTAGCGTTACAGCTTTAAAACTCTAGGAGATACCTTTTTATCCGATTTTCCCCCAATGGGTGTAGATGTATTCGCCATAGCTTGATCAACAACTAATATGATTTCTGGAATATCGGAAAATGCGAACCCACCCCTAGTGGGCGGTTCGGGAAAA